TTCATCTAAAGGACAAAGCAGTGAGTTTTGCCATATTTTTGCAGCTTTAGAATGTTTTAATATTATTTAACAGAAAAAATTGCTGGCATTTTAAATACAAATATCAGACTTCTTTAGGTTAATTTAGTATTTATTTTTTACTAGTTTGCAGAAAAAGAAAACTGTAAATGCAAAGAAAAGTGACTTTTTGTTCTAAATATTATTTCAGAAGCTTTTTCCTAAATCCTTGTGAATAAAATTACACTTGCAGTATGAGTATAATCCCTTAAAATCCCTAAATCCGTAAAAAGAAAGTTGACCCAAATGCTTAAATAAGGACTTTATTTACTGAAGTGAATACTTCTAATTCTCTTAGAGCATTGTTTTCCTTTTCCTCCTAAAATAACACTCACTTATAAACCTGATCCAGAAACTTTATCCTTTACATTTTGTTAGTATGCAAATTCTATAGAATCGTGCTTTGGTTGTGAACAAAGTCAAAATTTACTTTCAAATTTGAGCTTTAGTATAAATTTAGATATATTGAAAGAATTGAAATAAGAAGTGTTTGGTAATTTGGGGGGTGGCTGTGGTTTCTGAGGATTGAACTCACTGAGCCACATCACCAGCCCTATTTTGTATTTTATTTAGAGACAGGGTCTCAGTTGCTTAGCACCTTGCTTTTGCTGAGGCTGGCTTTGAACTCTTGATCCTCCTTCCTCAGCCTCCCCATCCACTGGGATTACAGGCATGTACCACCAATCCTGGTGAGTTTGGTAATTTGTTTGTGTGTGTGTGTGTGTGTGTGTGTGTGTGTGTGTGTGTGTGTGTGTGTGTTTATGGTGCTTGGGGATCCAACCAGGGCCTGTCAAGCAATGTTAAGCAACTACTCAGTCATGGACCTATACTCCCACCCCCATGTTTTTTTTTTTTTTTTTTTTTGGCGGGGGGTAGCACTTAGCTTAACCACTGAATCACATCGCCCAGCCCTTTTAAAATATTTTATTTAGAGACATAGTCTCTCTGAGTTGCTTAAGACCTCACTTGCCGAGGCTGGCTTTGCACTCATGATCTTCCTGCCTCAGTCTTCCAAGCCACTGGGATTACAGGGTGGTGTGCCACCACACCTGGCCCCAGTTTTTATATATCTAAATGCTCTGTTTCTTCATTAATTGTTGTTGATTGATGTTAATTATCTAGCATTTTTATTGTGATCCCAGTGTATGAGGAATTTAAACCAAATCCAAATCCTTATTTATTCCAGTAAAATGCTTTTCACATTTCAACTTTTGCTGTAATTAGTTTTGATTTAGTAATCTGCTTATCTGCAAACAGAAATGATGTAGAGATCCCTGTTCTGACTAAACTAAATAAGATTTTCATTGAAAGTACCTAGATCTTATCAGTGGGAATAAATAAACTCCACTGACCTCAGTGTATTTAACCTCAGAGGGTGTATTTATTTGCAATAAATATTGTAACTTCAAATTTATGTTTTTCCTGACTAAAGTTTCACCCTAAGACATTCTCCAGTTATGTTTATTTTGGGGGTTAGTATTGACAGCTCAATCCCCTTCTTTTTACATGTCTGTCTGACCTGCCAACTCCAGCCCACCCCTTTCATCCCTGAGCCCATTGTTAGCTTACTACTCTTCCTGTCTTAGAGATGGGGTGGCCCCTTCTATTGGTGTATCTGACCTCATCCTTGCCTTGATTCCGTCCTCCTTCTCTGCCTGCCATTCCTCAGTTTCTCCACCCTTGAAATGTTGGATATCCCAGGGCCCATCTTTGCTCCCTTCTTTTATGTTTCTCATTTTTGTTCCCAAAGCTCAGTCACCTCATGTACATGGGCTGAGTTATTGTCTAGGCTTAGATGCCTTTGCTTTCTCTTAGTCTTTAGTGTGTACTAAAAAAGCGGAATTCATCTCCCCAAACCTGCATTACCTTCTCTGCCTGTCTAAACTCATGGCACAGCCATCCTTGTAGACACCTAAGCCAGAGCTCTAGGAAACACGTGCAGTCTTCAGTACCCTTGTCTCCCCTATCCAGGTCATCCCAAGCCTGTGGATTCTGTTTGCCAGAATCTGTTTAAGTCAGCCTCTTCTCAATCTTGAGTGCTCAGTTCTTGGTTCAGTCTCCCAGTGTAGCCCATCTCCATCACCATCAGTGGTTCTGTGTAAATCTCCTGTGGTCCCCCACTCCCTGCCAGGCAGTGATTCACTTGCATTCATCTTCCACTTTGCATCCCTAGTGCTGACATCTAGAGGTACCCCAGAAGAGTGGAAATGAAATGAAGGGATCAATTTCCCTGTGCAAAAAGTCAGTGCAGGTGAGTATAGGTCACAGCCGTGAAGAACAGGGAACCAGGATTTCACACAAGTGGACAGGACACTGTGTCTGCATTTTTTAAAAAGCAATACTCCAACTCTGTTCTGATAAAGGAAACTGAACTTGTAAAGTTTTAAAAACTTATGGGTAGAGCCTATTTTTTAGTTAGGATACACTAATAACTTAGAAGTAGTGTGTAAACAGCATTATATTTTTAACATTTATAACTTATTTTTGAAAATATATTCCGCAGTGTGCCATTTGCCTTCAAATATCCCAAAATTATAGTTTACTTTTGATCAAGATCTCAGGGATTTTTATTTTTTGAAAACCCAATTATCTTCTTTACAACCATTTTACACATGGCTTCTTGGTGCTTCTGGATGGGAGGATGTTTTTTAACCTGTTCATCAGTAACTCTTGAGTCATTTATGCCTGAATAATAGAACTCATCAGAGCAAGGGGAGATTGACTGTATCTGACTATATCTTCTTTAGATTTCACTTAAAGTATCAGATTTTAGGTTGTAAAAACTACTATTGCCTCAGCTCTGACCAGCATGTGATGTGCTCTTCAGCTGCTTCTGACTCTGTGAAGCCAGAGGACAGGACGGTTGTGTTCTCTTGCATTTGTTCCACTTACTGCTGAGTTGCCATAAGTTCATGTGACTTCACACACTTTCTCCCCACTTTGATATATAATGAAAGAACACCACTGCTTTCTTCAGTTGCTGCGGATGACACAGTATGTGGAAGCACTCAGTGTGTTAAGCCCCAAAGGTCTGAGTAAGCTTTGAATTTTTTGCTCATGGAGTAGGGTTAATAATTGAGAAGATTCATGACTCCTGTCAAAGTTGCTAAGACAAGTGGCTTGTATAGATTGGTTGTTTTGGTTTGAAAAAATAATATTTTACCACACAGAAATAACAGTTTTCTTGGAAAAATCTTAGAATGCTTAAATCTTATAAGCTTTTTTTTTCCCCTCAAGAAAGAAACTGGCTGTTTTTTGCCACCATTCTGTAGTTGAATGGTTGGCAAAGGTAGGAATGAAAGCCAAACTCTTTCTTTTCTCAGTCCTGTTTTCTTTTTCTGTTGATAACAATTTTGGGGCCACCACATGATGTGTAATTATTTGGCAGTGTAGTAGGTAGGGAGCCACAGCATAGGTACACACTCAGTGACATCTGCCCAACTTTTAGATTAAAACTTTTTTTATTAAAAAATTTTTAAGTTGTTGATAGGCCTTTATTTTATTTATTTATATACAGTGCTGAGAATCGAACCCAGTGCCTCACATATACCAGGCAAGTGCACTTCTGCTGAGCCCCAGCCCCAGTTTAGATTAAACTTTTTAAAATATAAAAAAATCTGTAAAACACTTTGATTCTTTGTATGATAAAAATACCTTAAGAGTATATATCCTAGTCTTTATGGCAGAAATATTATCTTCCTTCTTTTTTTATTTTATTTTGAGATGGGGCTTGCTAAGTTGCCCAGAATAGCAAAGAATTTGTGATCCTTCTGCATCAGCTTCAAAGTGGTTGAACCACCACACCTGGTTCAGAAGGGTAATCTTCAAGGCATGCTTGATATTTAGTGACAAAGAGAACACTTTTTGAGATATTGAATCTTTATGTCAGGGACACAGAAAACGAGCACACTTTTAAAATCTACTAAAACCACCTCCCTTTATTATGCATATTGGTCTTTGACCTGAATTGGAAAGGGGATTTTTTTTCCCCCTCTAATGTTGATAAATAGACATTGGGTCTTCGGTCAATTAGACCTTCAGGTGAATTTTCCTTATATTGAAAAATGGAAAAAAAAATCACTTGAGGTATGGAAGATTAATTTCATCCCTCCTTGTCATAGGCCTGGAATATTAAACTGGTTTTTGTGGCTGTTTATCATCTAAGCAACTGCACAGGTGTATATTCACTGCAGTGTGGATTCATCTGTATGTCTGATCTATTTTGAATCTTGTCAGAGGTTAACAATTAGAGGATATAGAGGTAGAGACATCAGGGCCAGTGAGACCCTTTGGTACTTTCTTTTGATGGTGATTTTTACATTAGAAGCCAAGAGCTTTGTAGTCCCTTGTGGAGCAGCCCAGCAATGTTGCTGTGAGGATATCAGCCATGGTTGCTCACTCCTTTAGTAAAACCTCCTGGCTTTGTTGTCACTCTTCATCTACTAAGAACTACAGGGTTGAATAATAGCTTGTCATTGAAGAAAATAATGATGCTGTGATCTTCATGAAAGCTTATAAGATGACTTCCCATTTATGCCATCATCTACTGAGGAAGGCCACCATGGTGTACACCATGAGATCTAGAGTAATTGAGGAATGTTTTGGTGAGCCATGTTGGAGACAAACATGGAGATGACAGCTTCTCCAGAGAACACCTTGGCTTTGGACTGGAACCTACCTAGATGTGAACCCCAGGCCTGCTGCATGGAGCTGGGCTGGTCGCTTAATTTGTAGGGCCCTCTGGCGAAGCCCCTGACACTTAAAGACATGCTTAGTGAATACTCCTGCCTCTTCCCTGGGAAGTTGTGTTTTCCTCCCTCTGAACTGTGCTTCTGCAGTGGCTGGTCTGGTGGCCCTTGTGCAGAGAGCTCAGTGTGTTGGTTCCCTGGGTGTCCACGTGGTGCTCTCTGCTGAGGTCCTGATTGACGCTCTTTCATCTGCAGGTGCCCGAGATCATCAGCTCCATCCGCCAGGCTGGGAAGATCGCCCGCCAAGAGGAGCTGCGCTGCCCCTCGGAGTTTGACGACACGTTTGCCAAGAAGTTTGAGGTGCTCTTCTGCGGCCGCGTGACAGTGGCTCACAAGAAGGCCCCCCCAGCGCTGATTGACGAGTGCATCGAGAAGTTCAACCACGTCAGCTGCAACCAGCGGGCAGACTGGGACCGGGCACCAGAGCCCCGTAGGCCCATGCGCAAGTCCTTCTCCCAGCCCGGCCTGCGCTCTCTGGCCTTCAGGAAGGAGTTTCAGGATGCCAGCCTCCGAAGCGGCAGTTTCTTCAGTTCTTTTGAGGAAAATGACATTGAGAACCACCTGATTAGTGGACACAATATTGTGCAGCCAACAGATATTGAGGAAAATCGAACTATGCTCTTCACGGTAAAATATTGTCAAATGTTGTGCTCATCTGTGGTGCGACACCTGTTCAACAGAAAATCTGCTTTATTGAGTGAAGATTCTTAGTAAATTGCTTTTGGATTTATGTGAGAATCCACATATTTTCATACTGAATAATTTTTTATTGAGGATAAAATCCTTATGTTAGTCACAAGCCTTTAAAACCACCAGAGGGAAGCATGAAGAGAATCCATCTCATGCTTGTATAATTTTTATCTTACTTCCACTTCCCATGGTTTTAAATCTACCTTTTCAATGGCGTGAATACTTCAGATATGGAAAAGAGGCCAAAAGAGGGATTTTCAAAAACATGGATTTATTTCAAGTAATATATTTTAGCAAAATCCTTCAGGTGGAAAATATTCTCTTTACTATTGTCTTAATTTATAAAACTTTCATCCTTTGTTAATTTGGATAATTTGGTTTGTGAATAACCTTATATTTGAAGTTTATACCCAAACTGAAATATTTATCTAGCTAGTTGCATGTTTTTTTCTTAGATGAAAATTGTTAAACTGACAGTGAATCAAATGCCAGAAAAGGATGGATAGGGGAGCTATCCCTCTTGTGGTTGGCTGCTCTGGGTTCTTTTGGAGGCTTGCCCTCCTGGGGGAGCCCCTGGGTCTGAGCTGATGCAGTGAGTGAGTCCCTACTGATGTAAGGAGCTAGTTTTCCTTGATTCCCTTTCTGTCTGTTCTTGCTTAATGCTGACTTTCTGTAGTGAGTAAAATTGCCTTGAATGTAATACATTATTATGTAATCTAATGTATTCTGTGCATTATTAACCCAAGGCAGTGAAATGCTTGGAGTAATGAAGCTGGCCAGTTGGGTTAATGCTGTATAAATGTGTGCAGTTGTAAAATCCAGGTGGTGTGACAGGGTAAACAGGACTTATTTCTTCCTCTTTCTTTGTTGACCTTGTATACTGAGTGCTGTGTCTGCAGTCAGACTTGCACTTTAATCTGTGTTTAACCTATCCCTTATTTCCCCCCACAAAAAAACTTGTCATTGAGATAATTGCTCAGTGCATTTATCTACATGTTCTTATTGTGTGACAGCTGTGTACATGGACTGTTTTTTGTTTTTGTACCAAGGATCAAATTCATGAAGGTTTAACTACTGAACCACGTCCCAAGGCCTTTTTTATATTTTGTTTAGAGACAGGGTCTCACCAAGTTGCCTAGGGCCTCCATAAGTTGCTGAGGTTGGCTTTGAACTCTCAGTCCTCCTGCCTTTCAGCTTCCCGAGCCACTGGGATTACAGGCATGTGCCACTGCACCCAGCTGTACAAGCTATATATGGACAGTAGTGAATGCGACAGGCATGGTCTCTGCATGTGTGGAATTTAGATTCCAACAAGCAAGATGGGCAGCTGATTGCATTGTTAAGTTTATCTAAGTACAATTGCCATGTATGCTGCGTAAGAGAAGTAGAAGGTGCTGTGAGAATGCTCAGGGAATCAGGAATGGCTTCTTTGAGGCAGTGATTTTTTTTTTTTAAATGGTACCAGAGATTGAACCCATGGGTGCCCCACCACTGAGCTTTTTATTTTTTAATTTTTATTTTGAAACAATATCTTGCTAAGTTGATGGGTCTAGTCTAGAAGTGTAACCCTGCTCCCTCAACTTCCCAAGTAGTTGGGGTTACAGGCATTCTTTATTAAAGAATTCCTTTAATATCTGTCATACAACAGAAGTGCTAAAGGTATAACAAGTGTTTTCTGAGTATTTGATTTGTGATATTATATTTCTTTCTCTTTTAGAATATTAAGACAAATTATAAATATAATCTTGAAATAAAAAGATTTGCTCTTAGCAACAACAGTGCACCTGGCCAGGAGGTGACTTTTTTTCACAGAGCTAAGGTTTCTATGTGGCCAATTGGCAGGGTCTTGTGGGCTCATAGAGCAGCAGGTGAGAAGGCCTGAATGGCTGGGGTGTTCGTAGGCCTCTTTATTTAGAGTGTAATTACTCTTGATTCTATCCTGATTGCTAGCAAGCTTGTATTATCTGCTTTATATTCCACATTAAGGCGCAAAGAGTTTAGAGAAGAAGGGACGCAATGATAGTGACAGCATCAGGATGTGACCACTGACTTGTTGGTCCTGAGGAGGAATTAAATCTGTAGAAACGACACATACAGGAACCAAGAAGCTTAGCAGTATGGAGGCCGGGAGCAGCTGTCTAGAGCCAGGCAGGGCACACACTCAGTTGCCAGAGGGGTGGGTTGCAGCACAGCACTCTACTCTAATAGGTGTCTTAGGACATCCCCAGTCAACATGGAGGTGTTAATTTATGCTAATGCTCCAACTTTTAAAAAAGAATCAGGTCTGTAGTGTATGAATGCCTAACAAGTTATGTGTAATCTACAAATGGTAGAAAAAAAAATTCAAAGCGTTTTGGAAACTTCTGTTTTCTTTCAGTATTCATTATGTAGAAACCTCTTATGCAGGTTTGTGTGTTCTGAGCTTATTGCAACTTTTGGATATTTAGTCTTTTCCTCTCAGAGAAGATTGCTGCCCTATGTAGATGAATGTGCTTCAGTTGTCCTGTGCCACTTGAAATCTGTGGAATAAATTTAGAAGCTTTGAAATGATTTCCCGTAACTGTATAGTTAGAACTTTATGAGAACATGCCCTTTTGCCTCTTTATTTTCATAGGTTATGACCTGCAACAGTTTGTGTGATAAATTTGAATTCAACTTTCATGAGAAGCTGGTCTCTCTCTTTTTTTTTTTTTTTGTCTTTTTTAAGATTGGCCAGTCTGAAGTTTACCTCATCAGTCCTGACACCAAAAAAATAGCACTGGAGAAAAATTTTAAGGAGATATCCTTTTGCTCTCAGGTAAATGGAGACTGATTATTGGTTTGATTGCAAATGAATTAATTAAAGAATTCCTTTAATATTTGTCATACAAAAGAAGTGCTAAAGGTATAACAAGTGTTTTCTGAGTATTTGATTTGCAATATTGTGTTTTTTTCTCTTTTAGAATATTAAGGCAAATTATAAATATTATCTTGAAATAAAAAAGATTTGTTCTTAGTAAAAATATACTGGAGAAAATAGATCTACTGTAAATTTTTTTCAGTTTGTGGTATTCCCCAGTCATAATTACTAGGGTTGTGAATCTGTGTGTATGTCTTATATATGTTTATTCAAGCATATAGTACATATGTATTTATCTTACAAAAGTCCAGAATTTTTTATTATCAATATATCATTATTTCTTCTTCTTTAAAATAGAGTAGATAGGGCTTATCTTTGAGGATGTTTTACCCAGAATGTAGTTATCTATGAAATCTTCCATATTAATAATTTCCTAGGTATGTTTTATAGAGGTTCATTTTAGAGGAATCTGTCAAGTATGATGAGCTGTGTCAGTTTCGTCCTTGTAAATACAAGATCACTTAAGTTAGTGTTTGGCTCTTCTTTTAAACTTTGATTTTTAGATTTCTTTAATAAGATATGATAAAAGTCTCAGTATTTCTTGATTTATAATGTGATCTGCTTGACTGTTCAAAAGTCATTTTTTTTCCAAAATATGAAAATAGTGATCTGTTTTTTTCCCCACATTTTTTATTGATGCATTATAGTTGTACATAATGGTGGAGTTTGTTGTTCCATTAATGTTCTTCCTTAGTAGGTGAAATATGGAACTGTTTTCAAAGATATTTTCCTAAATTGTATTTCCTTAAGTACCCAGTATGTGTTTGATATGCTACTGGGGAACACTGATTGAGATGCCAGGCTCTATCAGGGATTACTTACTTACTACAAAATAGTTGGCCTGAAAGTAAGATTATCCACAGAATTTTCATCTTGATTTGCTTCTATTTCGGTTAAAATATTAAATGTTTTCTTTTATGATGTGATAGCTTAATTATTTCCTGAAGAAGTGCAGCCTGGGTTTCTGCAATCACCTGAACTCTAGGCTGTCAGCACTTGGCTCTGTGGGCTGGGGATTTCAGAAGACCTTGATATGTTAATATTTATGGGGGATGTCTCATCTGTGTTAAAGTTGCTTCTGTTGGCTGTTGCTTTCAAAACATGTTTATATATTGATGTTTATTTGAAAGAGCTCTTAGGAAACTGTGGTATTACTTGGCCTTAGTATCTTCTGCTTAAAGCTTCTCTATATATGTGTAATTTTTTACTCAGTCGTCAAACCAGTTTACTAAAGTATTTACTTGTTTTTTTTGGTTTCGTTTTGTTTTTGGTTTATTTTTATGATACTGGAGATAAACCTAAAGCCTTGTACGTGCTAGGCAACATTGTACCACTGATCTACATCCTCACCCCTGTACTTTTATGCTATTTTAGAAGTACAACTATGTTTTAAATTTTTTTAACCTTTATATGTACATATGTTTGCATGTGTATGCACACACAGTTGCATTTCTTCATTAATCTTAGTTTGCCTTTGATTTTTCAATTTTTTGTGCTTTAAGAAAATTTTTAATTTTTTTGTCATATTAAAACGAGTACCAAAACTTAGTTCTCTCATGGGAGGCAATCAGAATAATAATTTAGTGGAGCAAAGTTAATTTTCTTATCTGAGAGGTGATTTTTAAATATTTTTTTTAGAATTTTTTAATATTTATTTTTCAGTTTTTGGTGGACACAACATTTTTATTTTATTTTATGTGGTGCCGAGGATCAAACCCAGCGCCCACGCATGCCAGGCGAGCACGTTACCGCTTGAGCTGCATCCCCAGCCCCTTTTTAAAAAAAAAAAAAAAATTTTAAAGTTATTGACGGACTTTTTTAAAAAAATTATTTATTTACATGAGGTGCTGAGAATCAAACCCAGTGCCTCGCATATGAAAGGCAAGCATTCTACCACTGAGCCACAACTCCAGTCCTTATTTTAAATATTTTTTTATTTTAAAATATCCTAGAAAATAGTAATTTTATAGTATTCCTTAAAACTGTGCTGTGTAAGCTTCATTGGTGTTTGAGGCAGTGGCGTCTCTGCTGATACAACTCAACTTGAGCTTATCTTCCCTTGCCTTCCACAGGGCATCAGACACGTGGACCACTTTGGGTTTATCTGCCGGGAGTCTTCGGGAGGTGGTGGCTTCCATTTCGTCTGTTATGTGTTCCAGTGCACAAATGAAGCTCTGGTGAGAGAGGATGGGTGCTTCTTATCCAGAAGCTTATTGACAAGGAATTTCAACCTCACTGATTTTTCTGTCCTTAGCAAAATAGTGTAGCCTCACTGACATGTCATTATTTGGTTTTAATTATTTACTCATTATTTTCCCTTGACTAATAACTAGATAGTACACATCTGAGACTTATTTGGGTATGCATTTTAAATTTAAATTATTTTTGAAGAACATGCTCACTTTTACCTTCTGGTCTAATCTAGCATTTTAAAATGGCATTGGACTTTCAATCCTGAGAGGAATTTGCTTTCCACTCAGTATTTAATTTGTTATTTTTACTTTTTACCTTAGCTGCTTTAAGAGCTCTGAGCCTTTTAATTAGTATTTCTCGGATAATAATCTTAGTGTCGTTACCACTATCATCCATCAACCTGTGGAGCAAGTCCAGAATAATCTCAGACTACCAACTCTGTTCCATAGCTTTCTTGACATCTCATCCCAGCCAGTTTTAAATGGACTTTTTGCTGGCTTTAATTTCTCTTCTCTTCCATTAGGTTGATGAAATCATGATGACCCTGAAACAGGCTTTCACGGTGGCTGCAGTGCAGCAGACGGCAAAAGCGCCAGCCCAGCTGTGTGAGGGCTGCCCCTTGCAGGCCCTGCACAAGCTCTGTGAGAGGATAGAGGGTAAGTAGGGGCACTTGCAAGCTGTAATGTAGTGATGTGAAAGGCCCAGGAAAACCATAGATAGCAGCATCTGCTGCAGGATTCTGCCTAACAGAGGGTCCAAGTCCTGTTAATCACAGAGATTGTAGGTATACTTACTGTGCCGTGGGTATCTTCTATGTGTCAGGGATTTTGTGGGGTGCTGGGGATACATAGATAACTATTTCCCCCTTTTACCATCTCCCTATCCAAGGTACTCTGAGGACAGTTGGGAAGTTAGAGAAACAAAGGCTACCAAACCAGTTGCCTAATGTTTATCAGTGTTGTGTTTATGGTCAGTCATGTTAGCCACTGCGGGAGATAAGATGTAAAGAATTTTCACTAGGCTTCACCATTAGAAGGTCATCAATACCTCTTCCTGCACTGTTTTAATGAAGAGCAGAGCAGAAGGCAAGTTGCAGTCAAGGAGTGAATGGGAAAGCATCACAGGTGCAGTGACTGCATGACCTTGGCTTCTAGAAACTTAGTGCAGGGAGAATCTGTAATGAAATGTTAGGGTTTGCTGCTGATATTTACTGAAGATGTGCCAGGCACAGTGCTAAGTACTTTCTTTATTATCCTTTTAATCTTTTCTGTGTTTGTGGGAAGAAAAAGCCTCATTTATTTTGCATATTTAAATAAACTACTGTCTAATGAGCTCAGGATCCCGCCCCAGGTGGCTGTTACTTGCGGCTCTTGTCTTGGCAGAGACAAAGACAAAAAATGCTCAGGGAAGACCCTGGGTATCATCTGACTACTACTTCTTCTTCTTCTTCTTCTTCTTCTTTTTTTTTTTTAAAGATTTTTAAAAAAATATGGACACAATATCTTTATTTATTTTATTTATTTTTATGTGGTGTTGAGGATGGAACCCAGTGCCTCACCTGCAAGGCAAGTGCTCTGCCGCTGAGCTATATATAACCCCAGCCCTTCATCTGACTGCTTTTTTAGAATTGGAGAGAAGTTTGAGCATGGTCAGGGTGGACTAGAGGGGTCCCTCCTGAAGGAGGGTGGGAAATATACTTTAGGCAGGAAAGGAGATTCCGGTTGTCTCTCTTCCTGAGAGGGGACAGGGAGGAGCTAAGGTATGAGTGGTTTGGTGCCCACTGAGGGAATACAGAGGTGAAGGGGTTTATGCCTCGGTTTTTTTGATTTTGTATCTTTCCATTTATGGAAGAATCTCTAAAACATTTTTGTGTGGTTTTCAAGTGTTGCATGATTTAAATTATGCACATTAAAAAAGCAAAGATTTCATTTCTTGTGTATCTAGAATACTTATTATACACTATAAGTGAAAAGAAAAACCACATTGATAGTCAGATCTGAGTTCCTTTTTTATTGTAAAAATACACATAAAAAATTTGCCATTTTAATTTTTTTTTAAAAGCGTGCAGTTGAGTAGCATTAAATCTATTTACATTATTGGGTAACCATCACCACCATCAATCTTTTTTATCTCCCCCAAATGCAGCCCCTTAAATACTAACTCCTTTGTTCTACTCCCAACCTCTGGCATCTACCATTCTATTTTTTGTTTCTGGGAATTGGATTACTCCAGGTAAATTTATATAAGTGGAATTATATAGTATTTGTCTTCTTATTTCTGGTTTATTTCACTTAGCATAATGTCTTCTCGATTTTTTCATGTTGTAGCTGTGTCAGAATTTCATTTCTTTTTAAGGCTGAATAATATTCTATCACACGTATATACAACATTTTAATTATTTATTTATTTGTGGACATTGGTTTGTTTCCATCTTTTGGCTATTGGTGTACAAATATCTGTCCAAGTTTCTGCTTTCAGTTGTTTTGAAGTTGACATTGCTGGATCATATGGCAATTCTATACTTAATTTTTGTAGGAAGATCCATAATATTCTCTAACAGTTACACCATTTTACATTCCCACTGTCACTGCAGTTGACAATTTGCAATTTTTTTACATCCCCACCAAAACTCGTTATTTTGTTTTTCTTTTTAAATAACTATTTAATGAATTAAATGAAATTAATCAAATTTGCTATATATAGAATTTAACATTACAACCTCCAACTCTTCCATGTTAATCCCTTGTTCCAGTGAAGAAATTAAATTCTAACAAACTATTTTTTCTTCATTGTTCCTTTAGTGAGTTCCAAACCATCTTTTCTTCCTTGATTTTTCTCTCATTTTTCTTGGCTCCAACCAGTAGGGGAGTGGTCTCAGTAAAGTGTGAGGCCATCAGAATCGGGGTATTCTTTCAGCTCTGGGGAGATCTTTTAATGTGACAGGTTCAGCTTCTTCAGCAACAACTTCCATGGGGCTGAGACACAAAAATAGGACCTCACTTATAAAGAAGATCCTCATATGGGCCACCAAGAGACATCATGGGAAGAGATGTCTCTGGAGAAGAGTCCGAGAAGTTCCCAGAGAGAAGTCGGGACCAGCAAGGTTCTTAACATGCATGACGCATAAAGAATTTGAGCATGCCCAAGTCAGAGACAGAGATTTATTTAGGAAAGCAAAGGAACATTCAAGGGAGCATGTGGGACGTCTTCAGAGGGAGAAACAGCAAACAAAGAAACAGCCTTTTTTCTTTCTTTTTTGATGATAGCCATCTTAATGGATGTGACATGGTATCTGATTTCTCCTTTAAAATAAGATAGATTAATAGGTGACATTTTAAAGTCTGGGAACATTCATTGTGTGTACAGTGCTCTTCAAAGTGAACATGATTCATATGTTTGACTCTGTTTTCCAAGTTGTTGCTATTTGCTGACATTAAACAAAATATTTCTGGGAATGAGAAAAGTTTTGCTTAACTAGCGCTCCCAACCCAGAGGATCACTAACCCTTTCCTAGTGGTTGTCAAGATAAGGCAAATGATGACGGAAATGTCCCTTAAGAGCTTATTAAGAAGCCAGCCATGACTTTGGCCTTGAAGATAAAGCAGATCATGATCTGCAGAACTGGAATACTTCCAGGATTCCACTTGATAAGTCTTTCTTTGGTCTGGCTTAGATTTAAGAAAGTTAAAACTGAAAAGTTTTAAAACTGCTGTAGTTTTAGAAATTATCATTTAATCCTTTTTTTTTCCCCCCACAAAATTCAGCCAAAGCAAAAAGTTCTACTACTGTAAGAACAAGCCATTAAACAGTGCCCTCAGAAGTCTGGGAGGTATGTTTTACCTATATGAAAAGAAGCTTTTCTAGAACTATGAGTGGCACATTATCAGAAGCATCCTTAGCAAAGGAGATGTTGATTATTTTAAGGACAGTTTTGGAGTTCCTTGCTTTTTGCTCTTGTGTTCTTAATAAGTAGAATGAAGAGGTTTTTAAAATGATTGATTGTATGCTGCTTTAAGGGTAGTCCTAACAGGAAGTTATGATTTGACCAAGAACTCCATAAATGTGGAATGGACCAGTGACATGGTCACAAGGAGAATTAGAGACTGTGTTTTCTTAATTGGTTGATGTCATTAAGTTATGCCCCAGAATCTGTAAAATAGAATAAATACACTGTAGGTGCCAGTGATGTTGGAGAAGCCACTCAAAATGCAGGTGCAACCTATAAGAGGTGCAGCTTTCCTCAGTCCTGTGCTTGAACTATGTGACTCTGCAGGCGCCATGGTGTGTATGTGGTACTTAAAGTTCAGAGGAGCATTTGGGGGATTACTAAAATAATTACACTCTCTCTGAGACAAAAAGGATAGATCTTTTAAGCACCTGAAGTTTGAGGTGGCCTTGCTAATAATGAGAATCCCCTCTACTCCGGTACCCTTTCCTGCTTTGTTCTTGCCTGTGTCCCCAAACTCTTTTGGCATCACATGGGGCCCTGGAGGGGAGATGCCTTCAGCATGGTTGCTGGAGTGGCAGAAGGTAGAGAGAAGCCATGTGGAAGGTGCTGAGACCTGAGTGGGACTGGTGGGTTTGAAATGAGCAGAAATAACCTGGTGCCTGATCAGGCTGAGACTGCAGGATCCCTTCACAGTGCTGGAATGAAGAAGAGGCTGTGCCCTTTGATTTCACCTGAAATTGTCAAGCATATGGTCTAACTCTTCTAGTCTGATGCTCCTTAGAGCTTAGGGATTTTCTCCACTTGTGAATGTTTCATCAAATAATGTGCTGTTTCTAAAACATGATGCCTAGATGGTGTCAGAGATGTCTGCCATTTTGGGGGAGGATTTTTAACTAGTGATTACTAAGTGTTTACTTTATTCATAAATGTAAGCATATTTTGCTTCCACATTTAATGTTTGTTTTTGTAATGCTGGGGATTGAACTCAGGGCCTCATGCATGAGGAGCAGGCACTCTGCCACTGAGCTACATCCCCAGCCCCACATTTAAGTGGTTGATACCATGAAACCTGTGTCTGCTTCCCTGGCTTTATATGACAGACGGCTGGCCAGGAGAGTATGTGAATTGCATGTCAACAAACCTACCTATCCTTTGCACCTTAGCCCACCTTTGAATTCACTGTTTTGAAGCCACCTGGATCAGGAGACTTGGCTCTCCTAATCAAGGGAGTTGGTAGAATCTTTCAGTTTGGGTTCTGGAGGCAGACAGATGAGGTTCAGATTCTAACTGTAACTTGACTGATGACCTTGGACAAATGCTTGACTTTGTTGTGTCTCAGTTCCTTATCTATACTTCCTAAAAACACAGTGCCTACTTCAAGGATAATTTTGAGGAATAAATGTGATAATGCCCATGAAGTGTTAGGGAAGTGGGATACCACTCAGAAAATGTTGGGTAGCCTCTTGGGGTTATCTTGGGTTCAAACAAATAAAAGAGAATGACTTCTAGATGCAGAGATTGCAGCAGCAATGAGACAGGGCAGCCACTTCTGTCTCAGCTCAGCCGTTAGGTGGGGGCTGCTGGGCCTCCTGACCTGGCAGTCGCCTGCTTCTCTGGGTTTTAGCTGTAAGGTAAAGGTATGGTGTCCAAGTTCCTACAGACAAGCCCCTGCCCAGAGGCACCCCCAAGGATGAGCAGGGAGTGGTCTTCGGTAAGGAGGACTACCTTTAGGACAAGAGGAACCGGGGGCAGTTTTTTTCTTATGTCAATTGGGTCAGCAAATTCTTTCATTCTCAATCTTCTCATCTTGTGTGGCATTTATCTCTGGTCATCAAGGAAACACAAAACAGGGCCTAAGTCATATTTGTGTGGGGATGGAATTTTTTAAATATCAGATTCTGGTGGGCACTAAAATTTTACGTAGTGATTTTATTCTTATAACTGTACCTTAACCTTTTGTGATGTTAATCAAATGGGCTAAACACTATTAGTAAATGTGATAGGAAAGGAAGATTGTTAGCTACATGAATTAATTTTATGTGAAAGAAATCTCATGCAAGAGAAAAATGTAGGTCACTTTTCAAAACCAAGAGTAATCGTTTTTTTCTTCAGAAAAAGTTTTCGTGTTTACATATAAATGTCCACATGAATTTTTGGTTTTTCTGAGGAGAATGTTCTGATTGTATGAAGTGTTTTAACATGGAGAAAGTAATTTAGAACCTTGCAGACTTGAGGAAGAGTCCAAGTGGGTGGTCTTTGGAAATTATGTGGACCCTCTGGGCCTCAGTTTTCCTAACTGAAATGGGGGTAACAGCACCCTCTTCATCACCCTCTTCACCCTGTTTTGAGAATCACAGGAAATGATGCAGGTGCTCCAGATAGGTGCTCAATACACAGTGCCTACGACATCAGCGCTCATTTGAAAGGTGGTGACAGTGCTAACACTGGGACACTCACCAGTGGGAATTCCCACAGAACCTTGGCAGCCTGAAGTGGGTGGGTAAGGAATGAAGGGAGGGAGCCCGGAAGACGATGCTAAGTAGCTTTTCATGTCTCTTTTTTTCCCCCTCTCTCAACAGGAATGAATTCTTCCAAAACCAAACTAGAACTCCAAAAACACCTGACAACATTAACTAATCAGGAACAGGCAACTATTTTTGAGGAGGTTCAGGTACAGTACATAGTTTTTAATTTCTAGCGGGAGAGAGAAGGCAGGCTCTGACCTGTGAACTGTTCTGTGCAGAGAGTAGTGAAGTGGTGTTGTCACAGCCCGAGGAAGGGCCCCAGGTTCCTCTTGGTGTTAGCTCTAACGGTCCTGCAGAGAGACCGCTGCATCAGAACTGCAGAGTCACTTCACGTCTCAGCTTCCAAGGGGAAACTGATGAAAAGTGACATCTCTCCTAGAAAACTATGTTAGACTAGAGGGGAAATTGCAAAAGGGAAAGAACCTCAGCCTGGAAGAGAGGACCTGCATGGTGGTCTCCACACTGTCCTCTGCCCCCTGGGAACTTCTGCCAGCCCCTTCCTACTCTGCTTTTCCCTGAGTGTGGCAATTAAATGAAACATTTTGTATGTGAATTTGAACACAGCTGTGTCTCCCCCCGCTTTTTTTTTTTTAAGTTTTAAAAATAAATTTAGATCATGTTATCTACTTAGAATCATATAAGATATCAAACTAGAAATTAAAAAAACAAAACCACAAAACAGAATAATAACCAAGTTCATCAACTTTCTGATTTAAACAACCTGGAAAGCAGCTCTTTACGCAGTGTTTTGCTGCATCATATCTTGGGGAAACACTGGCACGTATGCTGGCACGTCTGTGGTCTGTTCTGCATGAATCTTTAATGAGCTCTTCACAAATTTCATATCTCCTTAGCTCCGAAGCATTTTCTATGGTTTCCTTTCACTTTTCTAGGTAGGTGAACACCCTAGGACAGAGAGTAAATATCTTTTTTTTTGGAGGGGGACACAGTGACCAGGAGGTTCTACAAATAAAGGAGAATTGAGCAAAACGGGACTGGCCATTGTGTGGGCTGAGTTCTCTCTCCTCGCTCACTGTGGAAAGTCTCCAGATAGGGCCCACAATCTATTTTTTTTTTTTAATTTCTGTGAAATATTAAAGTAGTGTCCTTTTAAAATCATACGCTAGCGTTCTTCTGTTTCCTTGTTCTCCTTCTGCTGTGGGATTGGCACCTATTTGTAGAAAAAAAAGAAAAACATGGAAATTTTTTAAATTTCACAAATGGCCAAGAGGGTAATTGCTCCTTCCTTTGTTTTTATTTTCTGAATCAACTTGAGACTCACTACTTTATTTTTTCTTAAAGAATCCTCTTAGACAAATGTAATGTGATTTGTACTTGAAATTCAGAAATAGATGGACCATTTGCTTCTAATTATTAATGTACTTAGACTTGAAGCCTAGGCACAGTGATGACCCACTTCCTGGCCTAGCGTTGCCAAGTCAGTTTGGGGAGCATCTTCCTGGCAAGTGTGAAACACAAACCTCCCTGCCTAGTGTGGATTTTCACTTTTATTTAGGCAGCCGCACATGGCTTTCCCTAAAATGGTGTGGTGACTCAGTGTAGGCAAATGTTCTGAAGCAGTAAGGAGCTGCTATTGGGTAGGATTCTGAGAGCCTCTTCTCCATGCAGGATTTCAGATATTCCACACATTATGGCAAAGAGACTTCAGGAAAAACAAACAAAAAGTAGGTGATGAAAGTTTACTTAAAAAAAAAAAAAAAGTTCAGTTAATATCCCAGAGTCCAATGTGTTTTTCTAGGCTCTGCAGAATTTTTGGTTGCTCTGAACCAAATAGAAGTGACATTGTCCATTGGCTTGAAAAGTCCAGCTCATATTTTGGTTGTCAGCATGACTCTTTCTTGAATGATACAAACTGACTTGGCTCTTTTCCTCTGATAGCTTATTAATGGTCTTTTTAAACCAAGTCATTGTTTCTTTTTAGGTAGCACTGCCTGATAATCTGTTTGAAAAATGTACATTTCAAAAAGAGAAAGGCAGATTTGCTGTTTTATGAATCCTCTTATAATGGAATAGTGTATGTTTCTTAGTAGTCTTTGCTGGAGGGTACTTTGTGTCAAGGGCAAATTTTCATGAGGCAATTAATTATTATTAAAATTAATGGCTTATATTAAATAGTTTTGAAAGCATACATACCATATTTAGTTTTTTGTAAATGAATGTTTAATGTAAAAAAAAATACAGAACCATGAAGAAAATTAAATATCTATGGAAATGATACGGGGGACAGTTGCTGTTAACTTTGAGTACCCCTAGGGGTCAGATGGGCATGTGGGCATTAGCCCTTCTGCTTACTTAAGACAGGACGTGTGGTACCACAGAGCCAACTTTTATCTATGACCTGTTTGGTGTGATTTTTAAACACACCTGGCACATATGAAGATGATGCCCTGGCGTCTTGCTCTCCTGCTGTGACACTGCCACAGGTTGCATAGGTATAGATGGGTTGCCTTGAGCATGAAGAATTACTTTTCAAGATGAAGTAGGGCTAGTTAAAAAAAAAAAAAAAAAGCCTCAAAGTCTAATTCTTGGAATGATTGTATTTCAGAGAATGATTTAATTAAATACTGAACTGATGATAAATCAAGTAGACTGTAGAAGAACACACACATTAATGGTGTGTAGTTCAGTGACTTTTTATTTTGGTGGTGCTGGAGATTGAATCCAGGGCCTCAGGCATGCTTGGCAAGCACTCTACCACTGAGCAACATCCTCAGCCCTCTTTGATTTTGAGAGAGGGTCTCACTGAGTTGCCAGGGCTGGTCTTGAACTTACATCCTCTTGCCTCCTCCTGAGTACCTGGGATTACAGGTGTATGCCACCACTTCCAGTTCAGTGAATTTTTGTAAGGTGAACATACCTATGAATCCAGAGCCAAGAAAAGAAGTCGAGCCCCTCCAGTGCCACAGAGTCCCACCTGGTTACTGCCCCCCACCCTACCCAACCATCAAACAAATTTTTAACACCATAGGTTGTGTACAATCATGTGACTTTGTGAACTAGCATGTGATTTTTTGACTGCAAAGTTCTGTTATACAAGTTTATTCTCCATTATTTTTTTTAATTTGTCTGATTAATGAATGAATGCCATACTTTTAAGAAATAATGATTTGCCACTCTTGAGAATGGTGAGGTCTCTTGAGAAGTTCCAGGGTAGTGACATTTGGCTAATCTGTTTGAACCCAATAGGAGGGCAGCCTCTCTTCAAATTTCAGAATCATTTTGAGAAAAGATTTAGTTCTTGACCTTGTGTGACCCCCGTAGACATGTGACTCTGCTGTAGCAACTTCCTCTGATACGTGGCAGCTCTGGGATGTGATCTCTGATTTAGGGGCTTCAGTTTCAAAAGGGAAGTAATTGTGGGAGTGCACTGCGCCCAATTGTCCTGTCATTTTCTGCCTCGGGTAGTTTCTTTCATGTACATTTGAAGGAAAAAAAATGTACTAATACTCCTCCTTTTTTGGTATTTTGAGATAAGCAATCAAGAAGAGTCTTTCTAAGCAAAGCACACATTTTCCTGTGAGTAGCCCAGGGTTTAAAGATACAGGAAGCAAAGAGCAGGTCAACCTACCGCTGCCTGCCCCTGCCCAGAGGCCTCTCATGATTCCTGTCTGCTTCCCTCGGCCTTTTTAAAAGCAGTTATTTTAGGTTTACAGAAAAATTGGGTGGAAAGTACAGAGAGTTCCCTTATAACTTTACAATTTCCTCTTATTGTTAACATCTTGCATTGGTGTGGTACATGTGTTACAACTGATGAGCCAGTATTTGCTACGTTATTAACTAAAGCTCATAGTTGACCTTAGGGTTCTCTCTATTATACATTATAGGGTTTTAACAAATGTATAATGTCTTGTGCCCATCATTACAGATCACATAAAGTAGTTTCACTGCTCTAAAAATCCCTTGTGCTCAGCCTTTGTATCCTTCTTTTCTTCCAATCTCTGACAGCCACTGAATTTTTTTTTCTTTACAGTTTTCATAGTCTTACCTTTTCCAGACTGTTATGTTGTTGAAATTACACAGCATACAGCTTTTTCAGGATGGCTTAATAATATGAGGTCCCTCCATATTTTTTTGTGGCTTGGCAGCTCATCTCTTTCTGTTGCTGCTGAGTAGTACCCCATCCCATGGATGTGCTGCAGTTAGTTTATTTATCCATCTGCCTATTGTAGGACATGTTGGTTGGTTCCAAGTATTGATAATTATGAATAAAGCCGCTGTAAACATCCATGTACAGGTTTGTGTATGGACATGTGCCTTCAGCTCATTTGGGTAAATGCCAAGGAGTATAATTGCTAGATAATGTGGTAAGGGTAATTTAATTTTATAAGGAACTGCAAAACTGTCTTCCACAGCAGCTGTACTGTTTTGCAGTCCCACCAGCAATGAATGAGAGCTTCTGTTGTTCTATAGACTTTTAGTCTCAGTATATCCGTAACTTTCTTGGGATCTAGAAGTAATTAAGTTGGATCTTGGCATTTGCACACTACTTTCCTTTTTTGAGGTTCTAATACAAACTTTTTCTGTAACAAAACACTTGTTGCATATAGCATGTAAAATTTCATAAAGTTAGTACCCATAGTTTGGAACCCAGGTCTGTTTGACCTCTAAAATATTTAATTCTGAAATCTTAAATTTGAAAAGAGCAAGAGGTCCTCCATGAAAATAAACCCTCCTAATCATCTACTGTCTTTCCTTAAATAATAGGAACAACTTGTCTTTTGCATAATTTGTTCCTTCAAGGGAGGGTACTCTAGAAGGTCTGAATAATACTTACAACATGAAGGATAATAAATATCAAGAGTAACCTTGACCCAGAATCAGCTGCTTGTGTAGTTGATCCACTTGGCACACCCTGTCTTTGGGTTAAAGGAAGGCAGAAAGTCTAGAGTTAGAGAAGGAAGACAGGACAGTGGATAACTGTCAGTATAAGAGATATATTTCTCAAGTTTATAGATCAGAAATTATCTCCAGAGTTTTTTGTATTCCTCATTCAGAGAAAATAATATGTTAAATTAGATGACCTTGTAAAAATGGACTCTTGATTTTTCAAATCCAAATAACGTGGGAGCTGGAGGAAACCTTGGAATTTATGTTGTGCACAGTTCTCATTTTAAATGGGGGCGGGGCAGGGCTAAGACAGAATGACTTTGCTCTAGTTAGCAGCTAGAACCTACATGTCTTGATTTCTAGTCCAGTGGTGCTTTGCCAATTCTCTATCTAAAAATTAAAAGACTTAAAATTTAGAGGAAGGAGGAATGGAGGGAGGGATGGGAGAGGGAAAGAACAGCTATGAAGTTTTGTGTGGAAGCTTGTGCCTCACGGGATTACTCAGAAGTGCTTCATGATGAACATATTTGGCGCATGAAACTGTGACCCTGAATCCAGTTACTGTGTTCCCTAACTAAAAGAGCTTATGAAGATGACTCTTGACCTCTGGGTGTTTACATGGATCTTGTTTCTTCCTTGTGTTTTAAAAATTGTTTATTAAACGTTTTTGCCTGCCTCTATCTGATATTTAATTTTTCTTAGAACATCAGATATCAAAAGTTAAATCTGAACCGCTAGCACCACTGTCTGTCCTTTTTTAAAAGTTGTCTTCACTAGTAGGATTGTTGGCGCCCCCTGGTGAGATGATTGAATAAAAGCACTAATCTAGGTGGAAGCTGTTTACACTTCCAAAGCGATGATTTAGCAGTTTTGTTGATAATTAAGAATAAATGTAATATATTTTGTTTCTGATTTTTTAAAAGAAATTGAGACCAAGGAGTGAGCAGCGAGAGAATGAATTGATCATTTCTTTTTTGAGATGTTTGTATGAAGAGAAGCAGAAAGAACATATCCACGTCGGGGAGATGAAGCAGGTAGGCCACTTTTGTCTCTTACAAACTTTTACTGGGACAATATATGCGGAGTCTTGGGGATTTTCTGAAAGCTGAAACATTTTTTTCTCCCAGTTTTCTTTTCATTTGTTACACATATAGGGGAAATTTGGCAGGGCTAGATTATGCTTGGAGAAGATGAGAGAAGTTTCTGTGTCTCCTGGGGGTTAGAGCAGGTGCTCTGATCTGGAGAATATTAAGTTCAGAATGGATACTGCCTTGGGAGCTGTGTGACTTGCTGAGAGCTGGTCTGTGTGGCTTTTTCTTTCTCCCTTAGGAAATGGGAATGTCATTGCATGGTTGCCTTTGGAATTACACAGAGTACCTTCAAGTCTTTTATAGTGTAAATGCTATGAAACTGTAAGGTAGTCAAATAACATGTCAAATACAGTGTTACACAGTTTGGTTTAAGTGTTATTAGCCTCCCTCCTATCTTCTGTCCACAAGCTTTATTTAGGTTTGCTGTTGATGGGGTACCTTGTCAGGGGCTGGGGCTACCTGCCTTCAGAAACCTTTGAGTTTAGGGTTTATTGTACGTGGTGCACTGGTTCATTTTCCTATGTCTCTCAACGCCATGTGAATCAGTTCATCATTAACAGATTCAAACCATATGTGTTTTATATTTTCAGAAGATTTAGATAAAAATCAGTATTACTGACAGTGTTAAAGTTTCTTAGTTTGCAAAAGCATCCTGCCTTTACCTTTTTTTTTTTTTTTTTTTTTTTTTAGTTCTGGAGGTTGAACCATGGGTGCTTTCCCAGTGAGCTACATTCCCCAACCTTTTTTACTTTTAAACTTATGAGACAGAGTCTCACTAAGTTGCTGTAGGGCATTGCTAAATTGCTGAAGCAGGCTTTGAACTTGAGTTCCTCCTCCTGCCTTACCCTCCCAAGTTGCTGGGATTACAGGCATGTGCCACTGCACCCAGTGTGCCTTTATCTTTTTTAACCTTGTGTGAGTACCTATTCCAAAGGCAAAAGGCGTGTTAGTGCTCAGTGCTCTGCTCTCCCCATAGGTGCCCTTCACTATTCAGAAACCTAAACTGAAGCAGTATTTTTGTGGGGTCCATATTTTTTATTGAAGTATTATAATTATATAGAATGGTGAGATTCATTATTACATATTTGTGCCTGCACACAATGTAACAATATAATTTGGCCAATCTTGGTGCAGTTTTAATTGGATATGCACTTAGCAACTCCCCTCATTTGACTTCTGCCTTCTGGTTGACTTTGACAATTAGTCCTTCTGAATTCTTAGTGCTCCTGTTCGATGTCCCATATGGTTTGTTTTCATTGACAACCTAGGGCCCCACAGCAGTGGCGCTGATGTCAGTATGTCATGTCTTTGGATCTTGACTGTGGTTTGCTGCTGTTCTTTGCTCCCTAGCCTGGACCTGGAGGAAAGCCTCGGGTTCTAAGTCTCCTGTCCACTTGTGAATGGATTGCCCCAATTGGTTTCCAATGAATCCCCTAGTGCACTTTTCAACCCATTTCTTTTTCTTCTCTGTACCTTTTAAAAATTTTTCTTGTGTGCTTACTGAGTCAGTCAATTTCTTTGTTCCAACAGGAAATTGATAATTTTGAAGTAATTCTTAACTGTCAGGGAAATTAATGAAGCATTTATGGTAGATGGAAAGTTTTGACCTAAGTACAAACTCAATTTTATGGACCAGTGTAATATCTTTATGGTTTGGGCATAGATCTGTCCAGTGGAAAAATATATTCAATTTTTTGAGAATTTTCCATTTTTGAAACAGAATAGTTAGTGGAAATGAGAGCCTTACAAGCAGAACTGGGCTCTGCAGCACTTTGACTAGGAGTTTCTCAACAGTGGCCTGGAAGGCTTGTGGCTGTGGCCGTAATTATGGTTGGCAGTTCCAGGCTGGATACTTCATGGGCTCTGAGCAGCGAGATTTCAGAGCAGTAACAGCCTTATAGATGGATCACATTTATGAAATTCACCGATGGAATCCTGGTTGCTTTTTTTGCTGTCAGATAGTTTAACCCCATGGATTTTGTTGTCTTTTTGATGTATCTAAATTCCCATGGTCTTTAGAAATGTACTGTGATGTGACCTAGGCAGGTCTTCTCTGTACCTTTTAAAAGGATCATGACTCTGACAAACAACTTCCCTAGTCACCAGTCTTCGAACTGGTGGAGGATAATGAGTCTTAGTCAGCACACATCAGTAGTGACATGTATGAACTTTTTAGAATAAAAGGATAGTGTTGAGTGCTGACAGAGGAGCTGATTTTTATCAAAAAGAAACTGAACAATTTTTTTGATCTTATGGAAAAGGAGTCAGTTTGGGCAGAGACCAACAGTTAACACACACACACACACACACACACACACACACACACACACACACACTTAGAGGATGTCTTGTCTTAGTGGGCATATCATTTCTACTTGTATCTGCAGGGAATGTACAAAAATTAATATTAAATCAACTGTGACTTGCTGAATGCTGCTACGCATCAGATGCAGTTCTCATTCCTAATGTGTATTATTCTGTTCATGCTGCAACAGTGTTTTTGTGGTGGGAAGTAACAATCCCATTTTAGAGATGAGAAAAAGAGAACAGAGGTCAACCAGTTAGCTTATGTGTGGCCAAGCCTATTCTGATCATGATTTTTTAAAGGAATTTAACAAAAGATAATGCTATATAACTACTAATGGGTTAGTCTGGGTCCATTTTCCAGTAGATGAGTTTGTTCGTCTTCCTTTCTTTCTGACATTTTATTAGGAAAGTTTCAAACATACTGAAAGATTGAAAGGATTCTGCCATGCATTCAGATGCCCTCTAGATTTTGCAGACTTTAACATTCTATTAGATTTGCTCTATTATGCATCTGTCCATCTTTTTGATGCCTTTTGGAGAAAATTTCTTATAAGCTCTTTATCCCTAAAAACTTTAGCATGCATCTTATTAAGTAGAATTCGGTATTCATCTTTAACTTTCGGGAGGTAAAATTTGTTCATAGCAAGTCACATGAATCATCCCTGTAGCATCCACTGAGTTTTGAGGACTGCTACACTAGGTCACCAAACATGAGGATGTAGAGCATCTCTGTCACTCCAGACAGGACCCCATTATCTTTCTTTAGTCTGTCCTCACTACCTCCTCCTCCGGCCACCACTGAGTTGTTTCTCACCCTAGATTAGTCTTGCACGTTCGTTCCAGAACTTGTCATAAGTGAAATCTTGCAGTGCGTGTTTTTATTTCTGGCTTTGTCCTCTTATCATGGCCTTTCCAAGCCTTGTCCCTGCTCTTGTGCATATCAGCAGTTCATGCTTTGTGGGTCATACTGTGACTGTTGCAGTCTCTCCATGCTTTTTCTGTAAAAGAGGCTGCTGGTGGTGCCATCCTGGGACTATAGGTTCCAGATTGAGAACAGTGTTGCATCAGTTTATCACTTGTGTCCAAGCTCTCACACTCAGACTTTCCCACCCATTAAAGTATGGACAGTGTGATGACTGTAGTAGAATTCACTATGGAGTCCCCAAATTATAAATTAATTTTCTAAGAACCAGTATCATCTTCAAAGGAGAGACTTCTAGATTTATATTTTTAGATAAACATGAATATTGTTTTCTAAATTGTTTGCACATTACCTCCAAATTATATTTAGATTATCACCTTCTATGTCAGACTAGAAGGTTATCATCTTCTAGTCATAGAAAAGAATCTGTTTAGAGGTAGAAGAGAGCAAAAACAGCATTGAATTAGGTGAATACCTAATACACATATATAATATATATGAAGAGAGATTCAGGCCTTGTTTAAAAACTTACACAAGTATAGTTTATTGTCTCTCTATGTGGGATTTACTATTACTGCTTTTTTTAGACCTTCAGCCAATATTTTCCTTACCTGTCAGAACCGTCAATACACTTTGATTCTCTTTTTATGAAAATCTTATTCTCAGTTTGAAAGCATTTCTGTAGTGTCTTAACTGTGTGGGTAAACTGGTGTTAAAATCAGCTCCCTAAGGGCCCTTTGTAGATAATTTCCTTCACCCTGGAGACTGTCTCAAGTGTGAGCAGGCTTCTGTTCTTATGAAATGATAGCACAGGACCCATCTCAACTGTCAAAGCACCTGCCTATAGTGTACAGCATTACCAGGCACTAAGCTAGTATTTGCAAAGCAAGTTGCATGCTGCCTCAGGTGTGTGTCTCGAGGGGTTTGCCTGGTGATCACCACTCATCCTTTCTCTCTCTCTCTCTCTCTTTGGTACTAGAGATTGAACCCAATGGTGCTTAAACCACTGAGTCATATCCCCAGGCTTTTTTATATTTTATTTAGAGCCAGCGTCTTGTGAAGTTGCTTAGGGCTTTAGTAAATGCTGAGGCTAGTCTTGAACTTGCAATCCTCCTGCCTTAGCCTCTGAGCCAGGCAAGTGCCACCGCTCCTGGCCATCCTCTCCCTCTTCATCAAGCTTGTCTGTCCAGAGATTGTATGTTCAGGACTAAGAAAACACAAAAGTAAGTGGCAGTCTCCCTTCTAGAAGGAATTTCCAAGCCAGTAATCATTTTTTGAGGTATGTTCTTATACAAAGCTGAATGTATTTCTTAGCGTAACCTTTTCTTTGCCTTGAAAACTGTGTAATTAGGGTCTCATTATTTCAGAGAAAATGTACTATCTTTGAGCATCAGATTACTGAATGAAATTAAAAGATGCTTAATAGCGATAGGAATCAAGGAAGGCATATTGAGGACATCTTATGCCTATCATATTGACAGAAATGTAAATATATAATATCCTGTAAATGTGACTCTCCTGTGCTAATTCTGGTACTGTGCATTGGTACCATTTAGGGAAGAGAAACAACAATATCTGTTATTGCTGACGCATAATTTCAGTGGCCCAGCAAGGGCATCCTAATTATTTACCTGGCATAACTCTTAAACAGATTTCTTTCATGTGAATGTAAGAAATCTGTTTAAGAGAGGTCACTGAAGCCTCCTTTGTAAGAGCAAAGAAAAGAGGGCAAATGTTTAACAACAGGAACATGAATACATTGGTTATACAGTGAGGTACTGTACTCTGATGAAAGTAGTCAAAGAACATTTGTCCACCCGGATATATCCCCAAAACAACCTTGGAAGGAGAGATAATTACAGAAGAATTTGTACAGGGGGCTGGGGATGTGTCTCAAGCGGTATCGCACTCACCTGGCATGCATGCGGTCCAGGTTCGATCCTCAGCACCACATTACAAACAAAGATGTTGTGTCTGCCAAAACTAAAAATAAATATTAAAAAAAAGAATTTGTACAGCAAACTTTTATTTAAAGTTTCAGCTGCACATAAACATATGTTTTATGGATACATATATGTAAATGTACAAAATATGAATTGATATAAAAACCAAATTTAGGAGACTGGTTATATGGAGGGTGGTGGCTATTGACCAGGAGACTTCAAGGATGTCTATAATACTTCCTAGTAAGAGGAGGAGGCATATAGAGTAGATAGTAGGCATGGAGTAGATAGTTGACATTTGTTGAGATCCAGTCTGCTTAAAGCATTTTAATGTATGTCAATTTATTAACATCTCATAACAGCTCTGTGAGGAAAGTTCAGTCTTCAAGTGATGGAACTGAGATGGCCAAGGCCACATGGCTGGGGACCAGTGAGAGCCATTTGATCTGGGCGTCAGCTCCAGAGCCCCTACGCATGGCAGTGATAGCTCAGCCAGACCTAGGTGGTAGTAAAGGTATTTGCTACAGTAGTCACTATGCTTTTTTATATGCATGACATATATAATAGCTACAATGAAGACTATGTTGGAATTCAGAATAGTAGGACATTTGCTTATTTGTGTGTTTTTCTAATAGAATTGTCCAGCTGGAAGCAATCAGGTAAGAGTCCATATTAAGATGCAATTTAATTTAGGATTTTTCATTTTTTTTAACATACCTCCTTGTTAATAAGTAGCAATAAACTTCATTTAGTGGTTGTCAAATTCCTTTATGATTTCAGTTTCACATTATTGTTAGTTAAGGGAGAGGGAACTCCTCTAATGGACTTAACTTCATTTTATTTGGGATAATCAAAATAAGCTTTCCAGGACAAATTGTCTCCTGGATCTATAGGCATTTCACTAAGGAGCAGATGAGAGCATAGGCAGATTCAGAATGATGGCTTGGTTCCAAAAAGATGAATTCTAGAGGTTCTTAAGGAAGCTAAAAATCACTTAACTTTTCATGGTTTTATTTTTTCAGGCATCACAGATTGCAGCAGAAAATATTGGAAGTGAATTGCCAGCCAGTGCCACTCGATTTAGGCTAGATATGCTGAAAAATAAAGCAAAGAGATCTTTAACAGAGTCTTTAGAAAGTATTTTGTCCCGGGTAAGTGTTTTAATTTCTTCTGATTTAAGTTAAATCACTTTTTAAGAAAGTGTAAGATTTAATTCTATGCTTTTATTATATCAGTGTTAATCATAAAGTATAAAAAAATGTAAAGCTTTTTTATGTCTTCTGTCTTAAAACAATGTTATCTACATTTTAAATTTGTTTTTAAATGTCAGTCTTTTTTGTTTTGGTACTAGGCATTGCAGTAACCCTGTGCCAGGGGCCATTAACTACTGAGCCACATCCTGGCTCTTTTTACTTTTTGTTTTGAGACAGAATCTTGCTAAGTTGCTTAAATCCTCACTTAGTTTCTGAGGCTAGTTTGGAACTTGTGATCCTTGTGCCTCAGCCTCCTGAGTTGCTAGGATTATAGGCGTGCCCCACCATGCCCAAGGTTTAAAAAGACATATTCTCCAACCTTTTGTATTCTATTCCACGGGATTTTTTTTCCCTCCTCAAATAGTGTTTTTCACTGGCCAGTCCTTGAACAGCACAGATGATATATTTGGTGTGGGTTCTGTTCTTCCTGGTGTTACTAGTGACACCTTAAAAACCAGTTTCTGTGGGCTCCTGTTGTTAAGTGTTTGGAACTGTATAGAGGGGTCTGCCATCCACCTCCTGTTGGTGAAGTAGTATTGGAACACAGTCATGTTCATTCATTTTTCTATTGTCTAAAGCTGCTTTTTTGCAAAATGAAATACTTGCCACAGACAAGTATTTATGGATACATATTACTCAGAATGCATAAAATATTTACTTTGTGGCTGTTTACAGAAAAAATTTACCAACTACAGCTGCATAGGAAGAACAAAGTACACATATGCATCCATCTGTGATTTCTTTAAGAAATCATTCCCTCCCACCACCACCAACCCATTCCAGGAGTATACATAGCCTTGATAGCACATCTGAAAAATCAACATTTGATTTTTCTGTCCAAGTTTCACACCTTTTTGAAGCTTGCACTATTTTATTGTGGTTCTTTGTGATTTTATGACAAATCCCCTTTGAAACATACTTTATTTACTTAAAGAAAATTAAAATGTATTTTGTTTGAGGATATTTCTGATAAAATTTGTAACATCCCCTGAGAATTAAACATCTCCTGAGATAATTAAAAACTGTCCATTTATAAAACAAGGGTTGGAAGGGCTGCATTAGAGAGCTTCTAGAGGGATAAAAAATAGGTTTCAAGGTATGGGCAGCTGGCTGGTTATGAAGATATGTGACTTGGGAGAGAACAATTGAGAGTGCTTGTTTGAGTACTTGCTTTTCTTTGTACATGGATTGTCTTTTTCCAGCCTATTTTTCCTGCCAAAGGACTGATCCACAGTGTGTTGGAATGTTTAGCCTGATGTGGTACTTAAAACAACAACAATTTAAAAAAAAAAAAAAAAAAACCAGAAATGATGATTTTTTTTTTTTCTTAATGTCCGTAATGCTTAGCAGCAATTCTCAATGGATGCTTTTTTCTTGAGTTTATATAAATAGAGCTACATGCCTGTGGCTGATGCCTTTGCATAAGCCTCAGGGCTCATAATTCAACTGTCTTTTCTTCATATAGGGTAATAAAGCCAAAGGCCTGCAGGAACACTCTACCAGTGTGGATCTGGACAGCTCTGTGTCTAGCACATTAAGTAACATCAGCAAAGTAAGCACATATCTCTTTTTATGACACTGGAGAAACCAAAACTAACTATAGGTCTCTATTGAAAAGAACAAAAAAAATCCTCATACCGCCAATTCCCCCCAAAATTTGGTACTTCCAGCCTTCTTGGTGCAGGTGGAGGGGCTGGTCATGTAGTTCTACCATGACAAAAGTTTTACATTAAAAAGCAGATGCTGTTCCATAAACAAAGAAATAAGATCACAATTTTAGACAATTAAGCTCTAATTCATCACAATGTAGCAAATGAATTTTCTTCCCAAGTAGATTTTTTTAGTAATTAAAATAGAGCCTCAAAAGGGGGTTTGTGAATTCAGAGAAATATACAACTTAAATTCCTGAAACTTTAATTTATCCTCTAGCTGGCCCCATGATTGTAATCATTAATGTTTTTCTAAATAAGCATTTGCCACCAAGCACAATTATAGCAGTGAACAGTTCTCTTTGATAACAAACCTGGATATAGGTCCTTGTCTCATATCCTTCTTCCTAGATATTTAGGCATATCTGAACCTGATTCAACATCATAACTGCCAAAAAGTGGGGTTTGGGGTTTTGCTGAAGAGGCCAACTTTTCTTTCTGTTATTAGAGTATGCTCTGATGCAAGAATGAGGAATTTTGTGGAGGCCAGCTCCTTACCACAGGAATGGTTTAAATTCTTCTGTGATCTCTTCTAGATATGTGGCTTTCAAAGTTTTTAGGCCATAACCAAGAATAAGGAACACATTTAATGTTGTGATGTAGTTCACAAACATGTTTCTACATACACATGAAATTGAAAGTCCACAAAACGGGTATTTACTTTGAATAGCATGTAATATATACTTTTATTTTTGGGCCTTTTTTATTTAGTGTGTATCAAATGAAAAGGTAGAATTGGGTTCTCCATTCCACCATTAAATGAACTCATTGCTTTTCTATCTAGTTATACTGATGTATCTGACCCTCTTAGAAATTTTAGTAGGGGCCTGCTGGTATACTTTGTCTTATTTTGTCATTTGATAAAAATGTATTGGCCACTGCTGTGTCCTGGATGCAGTGCTGAACACTAGTGTGCATAAGTGGTAATGGTTCATTCTCTCAACAGCATCTTAAAAAATAGTGTTAAAATGTTGCTGTGATTATTAATATTTGAGAACTCAGTCCTGTGCAGTCCTTAATGAAGCAATAACTTGCATGTGTATAATATTTTATAGTACACAGAATACTTCAGCTGTATTATCTTATTTGTTTTTTTGAAATAGGTAAAATTTCACTGTACTTTCTTATCTGTAGATAAGAAAGTGAGGTGCAGGAAGAAGTTGTGTGCTTTCTTCTGAATCATGACAATTACCTATAGAGAGAGATTCTATAATCTAAGAGTAATATAAGATATAGGTTTTAACTTCAAGATTACCAAATTAAACCTCAGCACTATATCAAATTCAGAGAGAGCCTTGAGGTGTGAGTAACATTTGAACATGCTTGGCAAAGATAAAGAAACTTGATGAAACAGCAGAGACAAGGTGAACAGCACTCGTGCTACTTAAAAGCAATAGGAGTCCTGTTTTCTAGGGCGAGGGAACTACTTACAGTGTTTCTACTCAGGACAGCTGTGTTATGGATGATGGTCTTTATTCTTGCTTTTGAGCATTTCCACCACTTCTTCAGCAAACTAGCATTTTGTCTCTGGCAAGCAAGTATTTAATGGATCTTTATGTCATATTTTTGGTGGCCACTAGAAAAAGTTCTAATCAAATGTGTCTGTAATGTTTTTCTGCACTGGGATTAGAGATTTCTAAATCCCACAAATCCCCCGTAGAGTGTCTTATCTGCTGTCTATCTGCTACCAGGAGCCGTCTGTGGGTGACAAGGAGGCCTTGCCCATCTCTGAGAGTTCCTTCAAGCTCCTTGGCTCTTCGGATGACTTGTCCAGTGACTCGGAGGGCCATTTCACAGAAGAGCCTGCTTCGCTTTCCCCCCAGCAGACCTTCAGGAGGCGAGCAAACACCCTGAGTCATTTCCCCGTGGGATGCCCAGAACTTCCAGAGCCCACTCAGGGCTCTCCAGGGGTCTCTCAGAGAAAACTTATGAGGTATCACTCAGTGAGCACAGAGACGCCTCACGAACGAAAGTAAGATTTGTTTAAAACATAAAATTTGTTGTGTAAATAGCTGGGATGTGTCTGACTAACCAGGTAGGCGGGTCTGGGGGATGCTCACTGGGTGAAAGAGAAACCTGAGTCAGGTTTACTCTTGCTTTAAAAAGATAAAACTGGCAGCAGTGATGTGTTCTCGGTTCCCCTAGGAAGTGTGCAGATAAGAGATGATTGCTACTTGTTCAAGTATTTTTATTGTCAGGGAGTAGGTAAACTAAGCAGAATGGTCCTTAATATGTAGCTGGTAACTTGGTAGCTGATCTTTACCAAATTGGCAAGTGGGTAAGCAGATTGTCATTTGGAAACCTAGAAGCAAGCTGTGTTAGAATTGAGGCACAGTATTCATACAGGCAGAGTGGGAGAGACAGGCCTTGGACCTGGGGTGGACTCAGCAGCCTGGGTCCTGTCTCTTGATCTGTCTTAAGCTAGTTGTGACCTGGGAAAACCTTGGAATAGATGTTGTCTAAAATTTCTTGCACTCAGAATTCTGGATTCTTGTAACAGGTTTACAAAGTTTAGTAATTGGGCTTCAAGTGAACAGTTGGAATTTTCTGGTTATAAAGAAAGGTGAAGAGCATGGTGACAGAAGTTTTTCCTGTTCCTTCCAGGCACCTTAGTGATTAATCTTAAGTGCCAGAGACTATGAATAGATGTTGAATAGATACAGAATACCTCTAAAAATCTCTTAAAAGCCCTCAGAGGTAAGTATGAATTAGGGCCATACTTGTAAACAGTGGCTGCCTTCTTCTAGTGACAGCAGCAGCTCCAGAGGACACGTGGGCTTGTCTAGTTTGTCCACAGGTAGAGGAGGTTGATGCAGCCGCATGAGTCTGTGCAGTGGTGTTTGAAATGTTTCAAGAAATGACATGCATTCATCATCTGGGACTCATGTAGCAGAGCCTGTGGGCAATGTTCTCAGTCATCCATTGGAAAGCATGGCTGGTTCTTTGAATTCAGCTGGACAACTGTGATCACAGAAGGAAGTCTTCTGCCAGCAACTATTTAATAAATACATCGAGAGCGGCACAGCCTGCTTAGCCACATAGGTTTCCATTGTTTCCCAACACCCTTTCCATGTACTGCTTCCTCTCTGCTTAAATTCCTGTATACCCCCTCCTCTCTTTCGGGCATTTTTGGTGGTAATGGAAGCCCTCCCACCTGGAAAGTCCTGGTTCTCTTGACAAGTCTTCTTTTGCACACAGCTCAAGGTGCCGCAACTTAGTTTCACCATTTTTTCTTTTTCCTTTAAGAAGGTAGCTTTGTGCAGGATCATGTCTGTCATTGATGATGAGAAGATATGGGGCAAGGAAATGTCTGACTTTCTCTCTAGAATAGTCATCTTGCTTTGTTTCCCTCTTGCAAACCGTTTTCTTCTGTCTGTAGGAAATAAGACATTGAAATTCAGGGCAGGATAGTGTTTCAAAAGGAGATGTGTTTTTAAAACCTTAGGTATTTTTTTTGTTGTTGTTGTTTTTGCTTTTGTTTTTGTTGTAATTTTAGATTTTTTTCCTGTCAGTTGCCGGAAATGGAGTAGAGGAAAAAAGTCTAATAACACTGGGAGCATAGACAAGTGGGAAACGATCAAGAATGGCCTTTGCTACACACTGTTTTTACTAGAAATTGCCTCTGCAGGGGAGAGCAGAGATGAAGAGAAGTGGAAAGAAGCCCTGTGCTTCTGTATAGTTTTTACTGAGACATGAGACAAGGCAGCCGTCTATGCTCCTTCCCTTTGCTTCCTTGCTTCCTTCCATCCTTCCTCCTGCTGCAGTCCTCCCCTCTGCCTCCTTTCCCCCTCTAACCCCGTGCTCTCTCCCATTGCTGTTTAGCGTGGACCATCCAACCATAGGCGAGTCTAAGCCTTACTCAGGCCAGCCTTCGGCGCCTGCTCCTCCACTTCGTCTTAACCCCTCCGCCTCCTCGCCAAACTTTTTTAAGTACCTAAAACATAATTCCAGTGGAGAACAAAGTGGGAATGCTGTGCCGAAGAGGTGAGCACACTCGCATGGCAAGCTCAGTGTCGTTTGTCTTTGCTGGGAGTTCACACTGGCTGAGCACTTGCCCTTTGGGGGTCGGGGGGATGGCCACACAGCACTTCCCAACCATCACTTGTGTGTGTGTGTTTAGTTTTGTTTAGAATGGATCTTACTGTTTTCACTGTTAAATTTTGCTATTAATTTTTTGAACAATATAAAGTAATCTTGATGACAGACTTTGTATGTACTTAGTTTCATATTCCCCTGCCCTTGGTGTGCACATACACAGTTGAACAGCTTTGTTTAACTGTGTTCACTACCATTTGTGCCATATCAGAAACTTCCTGATTGTCAGGAAAATTGTGTGTGTGTGTGTTTTTTTTATTTCTTTTTCTCCCTAGTTTGAAAGGAAGATTCATTTGGAAGGTGGACATATTTTTTAAAAAAATTCATTTATTGATTCCATTCATTTAAAATTGAATCTTATTGACAGAAAATGAAAGTTGAATCTTATTTGTAAACTATTTTTAATTTCTTACCTGGTCTACTTAGCAGTAGAATGAAAATGTGTGTTTTTTAAAATTCTGAAGCTTATATTTTTTTACTTTGTGTGTTTATATTTCTTTATCCTAAACTCTTTTTCTGACCAAACTCTCAGCATCTCGTACCGTAATGCCCTGCGGAAAAAACTTCATTCTTCCTCCTCTGTGCCAAATTTTCTAAAATTTCTGGCTCCTGTAGATGAAAATAACACCTCTGACTTTATGAACACAAAAAGGTAGGGCTTGAATTAGATATATCAAACCTGGATGTTATAGTGTTGAATTGTGAGATATATGGGGTTATTTTAATTTCTTATGCCATTTAAAAAAATCATTTGAGCTAAATCTATTGTATCTTCTTTCTCATACTTTTTTTTCTTACTGGATGTCTTTTTAAAAATGTGCAGTTGACTTGCTCTCCAGTTTTGACTGAAGTTTTCTTATTAATGTCATCTTCAGTAGATTCAGTGTGAAGCAGGGCTCTGAGAGCAATGCTGCTGGGTGGGGCGTTTGTGGCTATTCTAAATTAACGTGTCTGATCTATAAGTTGGGGAGATAGCTTCGTTGTGTGTCCATATTTAAGGGTAAATTACAACTACCTCCCCAAGTGGTCCTGTGAATAGGAAGGAGGTTTAGGATTAAATTGTATTTATAATATTGACAATTATATTTTGTTTTGTAGTTTTAAATACAAAGCAGTCACTGCCAGCAAGCAACTGCACAATTGTTGCCTAGATGGTTCTGTGTAGCTAAACTCAGTTTTTCATTTTTGGTGGCAGTTTTGGTGATGTAGACCCAATGGAGGCTTGTGCTGAGAACACATGGATGGGGTCCTGGGGCTCTGGTGATAGCACCCCCTGTAGGCAGCTTCTGTTTTCTGAAGTGGCACCAAGGAAGGCCCAATTGGAAGCTGTGACCTGTGGAGCATTTCTTAACACCTTTTCCAAGAAATTGTTTCCAAATAGAAATTGTTTCAGGGTGTGCGTTCTCGCTCTTTTCATGCACTGTAGGAAAGTAGTCGTTTAGGAGTATTGAGCACTGTGAGCATGCTGTAACTGCTATGACTATCAAATTATTTATGCAAAAATAACTGATAATTTAATGTTCTGCTTTTAAAAAACAATTTAAAAGAAAAACAGTAATGATTTCTTATCAGTCATAAATTCATTACCTTGTAATTTTAGGGACCTTGAATCCAAAGCAAACCACGTTGGTGACTCTGGTGGGACCCCAGTGAAGACCCGGCGGCACTCATGGAGGCAGCAGATATTCCTGCGTGTGGCCACCCCACAGAAGGCATGCGACTCCCCTGGCAGATACGAGGGTAAGGCCACCCTAGAGGGAAATGGAGGAAGAGTGTCAAGACCCAGGAGGCCCCTTGTGTTGGTGGAGGGCAGAGAGCTGGCCACTTCGGCATCTGGGAGGCTGAGGCAGCTCCAAAGTTGCATGTGGGGAAGGACATTAAAACTCGCTTAGGATAACAGTGCTCCCACGTTCAGGTGCTCAAAGCCCAGGTGGTGGTGGAGGCCCCACTTAGATGCTAGCAGCCTTCCCCAAATAGGAGCTGTGAGCTAGAACAGGCTATCTAAATTAATTACTTGCAGTCTGGGATTAATTATGCCTTTTACCACACCAATTGAACCAAAGGAGCATGATGTCATTACTGATACATTTTATAAAAATATTTGAAATTCATAACATTGGAAATAAAAATCAAATTGAATGTTTCCAACAGAAAGTTCACTCCTGTGATATAGAGGTCCCTCTGTGCTCCTGGCACTCAGCCTCTCTTGCCTTATCCCCTCCTTGTGGGGACCGTGGGTGGAGTGGCCACTCTGCCAGCACCTTCCTGCTGTGGCCCCTAGTGGAGCTACTGTGCTGGGTGGAGGGATTTTGATTCTTCTCCCTGCCTGCCTGGGCAGGGATAGCAGTGCCTCAGTCTTCCCATGCCCACTGGAGGAGCCCACAGGCTGCAGAGGGAGGGGGAAGCTGCCCTGGAGGAGGAACTGAGCATGTTGAGGATGTGGGTTTTAAAATGCTTAGTGCAGTGCAGGTGCTCAGCTTGTGGGTGGTGCTCCACAGCTCACCTCTGATCTGCACATGTCCTTGGCTTCAGCCAGAGATGCCCAGCATGAGCTGGTGGCTGTGGTTGGCTGTACTTCAGTTTCGGAGCCTCCCCCTACAGGGAGTTCCCGCAGGCTTCTGCCTCAAGTGGGTGTGCTCAGGTGTCTCTATTGGCCAAGGTCTGGTACTGAATGGAAAGTACAGTTCTGAGTGTCTGTGTGGACTTACGTGCTGTCAGTCTGTCTCTCCTTCTTCCACATTAGTTAGCATTGGGACTGGAGTGTGGAAGAGGAGAGGGAGATTGATTTCTGTTTGTGACTTTTCTTCTCCCAAATCAGTTGTCTCCCAAATCAGTTCATTCTGTGCCACTGTCTGCTCCCCATCCTCAGGGCACAGAGATGCCAGAGCCTTCTGCTGTGGTCTGTGACTACTCCATTTAGTCCTCTGAGGCTGAGGGAAAGACAAAGACAGTTGAGAGGCCCTGGGGCTTCTTTCCCCAGAGGTCCTAGGGAGTCTGTGCTGTGCTTCGCAAAATCTCTGCTTCTGGTCAGTGTTAGTGGCTCAACCCATGGGCAGCTGAGGCTCATGTCTTGGGCATGAAGGTCATACATGTGTGCTTTGGAGAAGCATAAATCGGTGTCTGGTGCTCAGAATGACGGACCATTCTGCATTTGTGTTCTGCTAGTATACACTTCAACTAAACAGCCAGGAAGCCCGGAGGTGAAAAACTTGAGGCAGAGGTACTTGTACTGTCCTTTCCTTTTCATCCCACTCAGAAAATACTACTAGAACCAACCACCAGAAATTTAAGATCCACTGTTTGCTTAGCAATAATAGCACTACTGAAGGATAAATAGGATTGTTTGTAATTTGGGAGTTCTGATTATGAGATAAGTGAAAACCTGGCAAGAAAGGTATTAATAAGGAGTATGGCTCCAACTAAATATTGAAAGGAATTAGGGAGTCGAGTGGATGGAGGTGGAGAGATTAGACTGTGCAAATATCATCTCCAACAGAGTTAACTTGTCCCTTATTCAGGGGCGTGTGACTTTTTCTAGGTACAGTCTCCCTGCGAAGTAATTAAGTTGCAAGAATCTGAATTTTACACTTTGGAAACCTGTCTGAATGAGGTGGGAGGTTAATCGGTATTTAGGAATTTACTTGTTTGTCTAATACCTGCAGGCAAACATTCCCAAATCCATCAGACTTTTTTTCTTTTAATTTTTATTTTCCAGTGCTGGGGATTTGTGAGTACTAGGCAAGTGCTGTACCACTGAGCTATATCTCCAGCCCCACCCCCTCAAGAGTCTGATCTTATTTGTTACTCTTAAAAATTGTTATTTTTGACAGGACTCAGACTTAGAAGTAGAAACTCTTAGAGGGGACAAGCCTGTGTCTCTTGGAAATTGGTTCCTGGCATTTTTCTTTGGTTTTCATTCTCTTGGCCAAAAGTTCGACATATTCTGCGGCCTCTTCCTTTTTCTTCTTGGTACACTATTTCTTCAGAGCAATCTGGTGCTTGTGTTGCAGGACACATGGAGTAACAAGATGCTGAATCTTCAGTGCTTTGGTCCTGGGTTTTTTTCCTTCCTTTTTTAAGGGTTTTCTGACCACATATTGGTAGACATTATCTTCCTTAAAAGAGGATGAAAAGTTTGCAGATTTTATTAGCTTTTTGGATCCCAGTTTATGAGGTGCAGTAGTATCCGTAAGTCCAGGAATATCCTTCTCTTCTATTTTTTTTTTTTTTTTTGTAATAACCAAGTTGAGAATGCTCAGATTGGCATCCACAGTGCAACCTCAAACATATTTGCGCTTTCTCTCTCCTGTTCACCTTGGTCCATAACAGGAATGCCCCTTACTCAGTAGCAAGTGAACATAGCCAAGGGTCAGGACACCCTGTTCCATGGGGAAACCTTGTTTGTCCTTCCTGCGACTGATTCAGACCACATAAACTTCCCATTCTTCACCCAGAGCATCAGCAACAACTTCTGTGGCTGTATACTTTTCACAAAAAGTATGAAGTAGGCACTCATCATCTACTTCATTGAGTTTCTGGCAGCCAATAGCTGGGAAGGAGATATTCAACTTCATCTTGGAGCAGCTGATCTCCCATAAGGCACCACAAAAAAGAGCTCCATTTTCTTTTTTTAATTCAGCAGTGACCAGTGGTCTTTTGTAAGAATTCCAGTGGGGTTGTAGCTCAGCGGTAAAGTGCTTACCTAGCTTGTGTGAGGCCCTGGATTCTATCCCCAACACCACACAAAACAAACAAATAAAATAAAGGTATTATGTCCACCTACAATTAAAAATAGTAAAGAAAAAAAAAGCCAGCTTTAAGTTAGCAAGGCCTGAGACGGCAGGATTTAATTCTGAACCTCCAAGGGGTAGATCTCTTTTCTCAGGCAGGCACTAGGTCAGGTGCCCAGCAGGTTCTACACAAAAGGGAAACTGCATTATAAGTAGGAAGTCACCAATTTTTACTCAAACACTTGGCAAGACAAATGTTTTTGTAACAGAACAAACACAGATCATGAAATAAATAGGATACTAAAAGCTACATGGTGCCTTAAATTTAAAGCACAGGGCTCACGATGCTTTAAGTTTGTGGCAGCCATTTACAGTAATTGCTGTAGAAACCCAGGAAAGCATGTTGTCCCTTCTTGGTGCTGTAGGTTCTTTGGGTGAAAGATTCTGAGAATTTGAAAGGACCATACTTGGTAAACTATTCACTCCACAGAGGGGAGTGCTAGTCAACCATGGCGACGCTGTTGCAAGGTTGGGAGTGTGTTTGGGGCACAGCCAAGGGCCCCGAGTGCTTGCCCTCTTTCAGAGTCTTGCTGATGAGCCACCCAGCCCTTTGCTGAAGGCAAGCAGGGGAAATGCTGGCATCCCTATGAGACCTCTGGGAATCTAGTTAAAAGGCAGATTCTGATTCAGTAGGTCTAGGAGGGTCCTGAGCATGTCCATTTCTGAAAGCTCCCCAGTGATTCTCATGTATCTGGTCCAGTTTGAGCAGCAAGGGCTTACTTACAATAAGCAGCTGCAGTAGGTCTAATCCAGATCTTCTAGTCTTGGTCTGCGCCTCTTCATTAGGCTGCTCTGGGACTCAGGGGACTTCCTGTCTCAATCCTCAAATCATTTTGGATTTATCAGTGACGTTTTGTTTTTTCCTCTTTGCCTTACTGGGGATGGAACCCAGACCTTGAGCATGCTAGGCACATGCTGTACCAAAGAGCCACACCCCTAGCCATCAGTGACCCTTTTTCTGAGAAGTGTTGTAGATCTGGAGAAGCAAAGAGCCAGTGTGGTGGGGGAAATGCAGTGATAAGAAACACGTGATAGTAGATAGGAAGGAAATTTGATGAGGTGCCAAATGAAACCAAACCTGTGGTGCTTTGCCTTTCTGCTGCCATTTCCCACTGTGGGGAGTTTGGGCTGTGGATGGTACTGAGGGCACAGGACGCTGCAGGTGTTTGCTTTCTTACCCCTGATCTAACCTAATTGTCAGGCCAGCTACCAAGGCTGAAAATCAGCTTCTAGCTAGAGATTTGACGGTACTTACATTGCATAGCCTCTTTTCCCAGTATATCATACTAAAGAAAATTCATTATTGTTAAGAAATAATCATTATATAATTGATACATAATAATTTAACATATTACATATATGTTAATATGTAATTGACTCCATGAGACAAAGGAGCTGGTCTAACTCTATATTTTGAAATCTCTCCAGGTGTCTGTGGTGCCCAGTGAAAAATTGAGAACCACCAATGAAAACAAAGGGTCATGTAATGATAATACAACATAATATATTATACGGCAAAAGGCAGATCTTTTGTTAACCTGTGTGCCAGGGAACAATTTTAGTCTTAGTCTAATATCTAATACTTCTCATTTAAGGATTTCAGATTATGTTGTGCATTTTACCAACAACAGAAGCTTTCAAAGTTTCATGCCTTGGGGAAAAAAAGAAAAAGACCGAAAACCTCTTTTCATAGAGATAAGAACACTGTATAAACAAATAGTCTAGTGAATAAAAGTTCAACGGTTTTCTGTGTTTTGAGTACTGCTGTATCAATATGCCCCATTTATGGTAAGGTTAAGTAAGTCTAGTAAACATTAGATACAATTTTGGATATAAACAGTAATGAGAAAAGCAAAGTATATAATCTGAATGTTATGATGACTATTATTGTAAAAAAAAAAGTCAAAGCATTGTATGGCTGTGATTTTTGTTGTGTATAGCCAAATTTGC